TATAGTAATATAGTTAAGCAAGGTAATACAATTCACGGAAATAATGTTGTGTATATATCAGTTCTGTTATCGTGTGAGATACATTTGGTACAAAAACGTAAATCGCTAAGTTCCCGAATAATAGGTATTTGTTAAGTGTTATTCTAAAAACATATTTGAAAATGATTTCTCTTAATATTATTTATTTGAAATTTGTGAAATTAGTTTATATGAGGGCAACCGAGTAATAGACCTCATAATATTATGATTTTTAATATCAATAAATTTAATTTAATTGTATTTTAAATAAATATACCAAGTCCAATTTTGCAACTCACTATATAACGACAATGAACAACATATTATATATACATAGRTGTATATATATATAATACCATTACAGTACACGCACATCGATAATTATTTATGCCGATATAAGTATGTGTGTATGTGAAATGCGCGTTACACGTGTAAATGAAAAAACTGTACATTGTTTTCCAGTTTTTTTTCTTTTTTTTTAGTKGGCGCACGTGCCTCCCATAAATCTATACCATTACATAATATTATATTAATTATACATTATTGTCATTCTATGGCTATAAGCCTATAACACGCATTACAATCATTACATACATCTATCCGTTTTGACGTAATAATTATTATTGTAAAATCACCATACAAAATGATGATAGTCGAATATTGCAATTGCACTTATTATTACCTAAATATAAATTATCGGATGGGGTTAAAAGTGGGCGTATAATAACTAGTCTCACTGCTCTCGGGCTTAAAAATGCTGGCGTTGATCGGGTAAACTAACATTGACCTATGAATGTTTTTATTTTTATTTATTTAATTTTTTATATTTTAGTTTAGTTTTTATTTTATTTATTGCGTGACTCGGCGTGTCATAAATTATAATACCTACTTGTATAAGCTATAACACTAATACATTTCATCCTTCGTGTTTATTATTGCTATTAAGTATAGGTTCATTTAAAACATTTGAAAATTTTCCAAATGCTTTGATACAAACAACAAACATGATATTTCTCAATTTATAATCATTGTCATACGATAAAATTCAATAAAACAGCGTGATTGGGTGAGAGCCGAACGGACGATAGATCCCCACCATGACCTTTTACAAAATGTATAATAACTTATGCATACATATGTCATATATGTAGATACAAAGCGGTAACTATAAATTATATTTTTAATGGTCAAAATAAAGTGTATGCTAAAAAATCAGATATCATTCATCGGAGTTTATCCACTATTTATTTTCTAAGTCAAGCTCTGATTATAAAGAACTATGTACATATATTATATATACTACATAGATAATATCCAAAGTTGACTACCACTTTTATAGGAGGTAGGTTCTCGGGGTGGATTTGTGCTTTTAAGGTAATACAGTAAAATTTTCACCAATGGACACTTTAAAATAGCTGATGGTTTTTCGAGAACAAACTACTATAACTTTCTACAGATTGAGCCCATTGAGTATAGCGKACAAAATGTCCATTTTTAGTCAATCGCACTGATTTTTCCAGGCTATCTGAACGATATACATCTTTGCGTCAATGGATTTATCGCAAATTAAAAAGGTACACATATTTTGCGCCAGTGAGTAGGCGAATTGTGAATAGTGAATAATTGAAATAGTGAATTGTGGTAAAAAGCGTAATATAGCTAATTTTAAACTAAACTAAAATTATTAGTGTWGATATTTTCTCTGTAGCTGATTATACTCTAAATATATTATCGTATTAAATTTGTTTTTKAACAGTAATTTGTAAAAATATATCTCATTTTTATCTGTTATATACTATGTAATATAATATGTATGGCATGACATGACCGATGGCATTGAACTTACGCGGTCCGATCTCAACGAAAAACTGCTCGGACGGAGGCGAATATCCGCTGGTTCCGTTCTCGTTGATGGCGGCGACGCGGAACTGGAACCACCTTCCGGGCATGTGAAGYTGTCTGAACTGTTCTCGTGTCCTGTCGGTCCTGGTCACCATAGCCCACGTGGTCATGCGCTCCGGTACGTACGCTGCGCCCACGTGGTGCCGTTCCTGGACCACGTAAGTGACGTGACCTGCAGATGTGCCAAGCGACGGCGCTGACCACTCCACCGCCAGAGCTTTACCGTAGTCCGACACAGCTACGACATTCGGTACGTCCGGTAGACCTGCAGCGGACCGTAAAAATAGAACGTTATTAAGCAAGCACCTGGACATAAATATCTTCTTTTTTTTTTTAAATTAAAAGCGTCAGCTTCTAAGTCATTAGCCCCCTGTASAACACAACTGCTACCTCGTATTTTCTTATAGCTAACTCGATACCTTCAATCCAAGAAGTTGTCTAAGGAAGTGTACAAATTTAATACAGTGCAATATAAAATATTTGTAGTAGTTATGTACTTATGTATAGTTGAAGGGATGCAAAATAAACAAGKGAATTTGTTTTAAAACGTTTATAGGATTCAACAATAGAAAAAAATCGTTGTATTCTATATTCCTACGTAACTTGTAAATTGTTTCGTTAGAGATCATTAGTCAGCATTTATACGATATAAAAATATAAGATKTTACTATAATATTACATTTTGGTATGAGAATAGCTGTTTATAGGTCAAACCACGAAACGAAAAAATATATTTAAAACAAAAAAAGTTTTAAGAACATTGTTTTAAACACGTTAAAAAAAAATATTTTAAAAACTTTTTTTGCAACCCAATATGTAGTTGTTTCGGGTTTGTTTGAAAATTAATATATTTTTATATTTTACTATCACCCCTATGATTTTGATWAATTAATCAATAACATTTAATTATTATATAATAAAGGTAGAAATATAATTATTCACGTAAAGATCCATTTAAGGCGAGATATATAGTGAACAATAATAACTTTAGCGAGCTGATACGCTCTTAATAAATCACCATTTTACACTACATGCTAATCTTTGAATAAATCTGTTTATTCAATTTTTTAAACAAATATAAATACATTCAAATATTTCAAAAATGTTTTGTTTCTAATGCTGAAATAAAATAACTAGATTCGCGAAATTTAAAAATAAGGCTGAATATACGAATTGARTCCCAGTATAACCTTTTATGACGAATTGTGTCTCGAGTTGTTTTAGGATATATACTAATTGAGTTCAATGAAATTTTAGGTATAGTACTTCCATTTTTTAATACTTACTGAGTCCCGTTAAATTAAAAAATAAAACATTTCCCCAATTTTTACAGAATTAGGACTGTCTGTGACAAAAAATTCTACAGGTATGGTTA